GGGGAGGGGGAGGGGGAATAGCTCACTCTATCTCCTCTTATCAAGTTTTAACCAAGAATTTCAGAAGATATAGAGAGAGTAGCTGAGACTCTAATTGTCTTGCAGGATCAAGTTGATTCCTTCGCCACGGTAGTACCACAGAATACAAGAGGATTAGACTTACTAACAGCAGAAAAAGGTGGAATCTGCCTCTTCTTAGGAGAAGAGTGCTGCTTTTATGCCAACCAGTCAGGCATTATCAGAGATAAGGCTAAGGATCTCACTGAACGAGCAACAAAAAGAAGACAGGAGCTATATGAGTCCTGGGGGCCGGGGGGGGGGAGGGGGGCGGGGCGTGTAATCTAGAAATGGCTTCTCCCATTGACAGGAACACTGTTAATGCTACTCATAGCCGTAACCTTAGGACAATGCCTTCTAAATTTCTTAACTTGCTTTATCTCATCTCGCCTAGATGCCTTTAAACTTCAAATGGTCCTACAAACCAGAAGAATTCCCTACAAACCCCTCCGAGAGGAAGAAACGGGAGGCTAACCTCTTGGTTGTTGTCCCTTATCAGCAGGAAGCACCTAAGAGTGGCCGTTGTGCCACAAGGCTAAGAAAAGCTTGTGGGACAAGGGGGAGGGGGAGGTGGGATGAGAAGAGGCTAAAGGCTAATTCTTTCTGTAACATCTGGTTCCCTCTAAGGGAACTTTCTTCAAGCAGAACAATGCAATCCAGATGGGAAAATATAACCTACTGCCTTTTCCTGCAGTCTGGGCTAGCAAGATTTCTTGTCTGTTTGCTCACATGTTACAGAGGCCATGAATCGTAAAACAATACACAACCCCTGGAGAGGGCTGTCAGTGCTGGCGCCAGACCAGGCCCTTAGGTCTGGTCTCATGACGCCCAGCCCCACACATGACCCCCAGCCCCCGAAAGATCCCGAAGCTCCATTCCATACTTGGGGAACAAAGAAGCCAAAAAGGTATAAAGGAAAAGCTTCCACCGGATTTCTTTGTTCAGATTTTTGGAGGTGACTCCACTGAGACCGCCGGCGTAATAAAGCTGTGTAACTCCATTTCTCTAAGCATTAATTTGGTTTTTCTCCAGTCTTCTAGAACACTTGAACATCTTTTGATATTTTCCCAGAATTAATGTTAAGAAAAAATAATACTGTGAAATTTGAATTTCATTAGGCTGATTAAATCGGAGGCAGGGTTGGCTTTTAACTACTCATTTTTGCAAGAGTCACTGGGAACTTTTTTTTTTTTTTTAAACATTTTATTGATTTTTTACAGAGAGGAAGAGAGGGATAGAGAGTTAGAAACAACATCGATGAGAGAGTAACATCGATCAGCTGCCTCCTGCATACCTCCTACTGGGAATGTGCCTGCAACTAAGGTACACGCCCTAGACCGGAATTGAACCTGGGACCCTAGAGTCCACAGGCCCACGCTCTATCCACTGAGCCAAACCGGTTAGGGCTTACTTTGTTATTATAAGGTACTTATGCTACCCGTGAAGTGGTACAGTATTATTTGAAAGTGGACTTGGATTAGTTGTAAATATATACTGTAAATTCTAGGGTATCCACTAAAGATAACTTTTTAAAAGTATAACTAATATGTTACAAAAGGCAACATAGAATCATGTAAAATGAAGAAAAATAATTAAAGAAAAATAGAAAAAGAATTAAAACCACAAAAGGCAGAAAAGAAGTGGAAGGCAAAAATAGGAACAAAGAATAAAGGCAATAAATAGAGAATAGCAACAAATATGGTTACTATGTATTATTTCTGATATTGCATATCAACTACATCAATAATTACTATGAAAGTAAATGGTCTCAATGCACCAATTAAAAGAGATTGTCAGCGTGGATCAAAAAACATGAACCAACTATATGCTGTCTATAAGAAATCCACTTTAGATATAAAGACACATGAGATTAATAGTAAATGGAGGAGACAATATACCATCCTAACACTAGTCAAAAGAAAGCAGTAGTGGATATATTGATTTTGGATGTAGCCGACTTAAAAAGAAGGAAAGTTATCATAGATAAAAAGGGGCATTACAAGATGATAAAGGGGCCAATTCTTCAGGAAGACATAACAATTCATATGTGTGTGCCTAACAACGGGGCATCAACCTAATTGAGACAAAAACTGATCGACCTACCAGGAGAACTAGACGAATCCACTATCACAGCTGGGAACTTCAATACCCCCTCTCAGAAACGGACAGAGCCAGCAGGCAGAAGATCAGTAAGGACACAGTAAAACTCAACCATACCATCATGCAGCTATACAATATATAACTGACATCTGCAGACTACTTCATCCAACAGCAGCAGAATGGTGTTATTCTCAAGCTCACCTGGAATACTCACCAAGACAGGGTGAAAAGGCAACCTGAGGAATGGGAGAAAATACTTGCAAATCACATCTATACTAATAAAAGGGTAATATGCTAATTAGACCAGGTCGACCAGACATCTTCCAGAGATCCAGATTCCTTCTGGACAAAGCCATGGTGGTGGGGGCCAAGGCAGAGGTGGTTAGGAGTGATCAGGCCGGCAGGGGAGCAAGCTGTTAGGAGGCGATCAGGCCGGCAGGGGAGGGCAGTTGGGGGCAACCATGCAGGGAGGCAGGTGAGTGGTTAGGAGCCAGCGGTCCTGGATTGGAGAGGGTGTAGGCCAGGCTGAGGGATTCCCCCTGCTCCCTGTGCACGAATTTCATGCACCAGGCCTCTAGTATCTGATGAGAGGCTAAAATGCAGAATACGTAAGGAAATTCTACAAGTCAACAAGGAATGACAATCCTATTGAAAATGGGCAAAGGACTTTACTAGTTCTCCAAAGAAGATAGACAAATGGCTAATGAACATATGAAAAGATGCTCAACATCACCAATCATTGGGAACATGCAAATGGAGTCCACCTCACACCCATAAGGATGGCTACCACAAAACAAAACAGAACAAAACAAAAAGCTGAAAACAACCACTGCTGAAAAAATGGTAAGCCTTGTGAACCACTGGAGCAAATGAGAAATGGTGCAGCTACTGTGGAAAGCAGTAGGGAGGTTTCTCAGAAAATTAATAAAGAGAACCACCACATGACCCGTGATCCCACTTCTGGGAACATATGCAAAGGAATTAAAACCAGGGTCTCAAAGTGTCACCTGTGCTCATGTGTCCATAGGTAGCACCATTATTCACAGTAGCCAAGAGGTGGAAGAAACCAAAGGTCCATCAACAGATGAATAGAGCCCTAGCCAGTTTGGCTCAGTGGACAGAGCGTCGGCCGGCGGACTAAAGGGTCCCAGGTTCAATTCTGGCCAAGGGCACATGCCCCGACTGCGGGCTTGACCCCCTCCAGTGGAGGGCATGCAGGAGGCAGGTGATCCATGATTCTCTCTCATCATTGATGTTTCTCTCTCTCTCTCTCTCTTCCTTCCTCTCTGAAATCAATAAAAAACATACATAAGAAACAAAGAAAAAGATGAATGAATTTTAAAAACGTGGTAGAGTCATCCCTACATATCCTTGGGGGATTGGTCCAGGATCCCCATGGAGACTAAAATCCATGGATGCTCAAGTCCATTCTATAAAATGCCATAGTATTTGCAACATAATCTCCACCCATAAACTTTAAATCATCTCTAGGAT